TTGAAAGCACAAGAAGCCCCGTATCGGCGGTGCGACGGGTATTTATACCCAGCCGATACGGGTGACAAACAAGTGGTTTATCAAGGGTCAAGGGGGTGCAATTAGTCTATATGATTAGCAAAGGTCACATCGGTAGGAAATCCTGTACAAGGTTATCACGGGTGGGGCAAATGGTGTACAGCTTTATCAGTGGTTACAGCGGTGGTGAATGGTTATCGAAGGTTAGAAGGTCGCGCAGAGCGAGACAGGCATGAACTCCTTACGTCCTCGCTTTTGGCTTAAAGGCACAGTTCACGATAAAAATGGTTGCTGAGATTCCCCCACATGATGAATTTGAGGCCCCGCGTATACCACATCTGGCACTATTAGGTCAGAAAACGGCCTAGTTATGGAGTTATAAAGGCTCAAAGATTGGCCCGTGTGTATCCTCGGACGAGTTTCACCGGCATTATAGAGGCTGCACCGATCGCAAGGGAACCCATGTAGGAAGTTCAAGCAACTTGTCATGACCCATAGCGACAATGAACGACAGTTCTGTTCAGTTCTAGCTTGATGTAGTCAGCTCTTTGCGCAATTGCAATAACTGAAATCTCGTCCCAATACCCCTTCCATGTTATTTCCGTCATGGTAATCCCTTACAACCTCTATTTCCCTGCTTTTGAGGAGCAATATTTTTTTCGAAATTGTCGAATTCTCTCGCTTTCTTCACTACCAGTGAAATATTCCCAATCTATACTTCCGCTTTTCGAATCAAGAGGGTACATCAAAATTATCGTGAAATAAGCCTTTAACCTAGTTGTGCCCTGCAACAAAGGAACAACAGCTAAACAAGATATCATAAGAAAGTTTCTCGAAGGAAGAATCATCCTACTACGTACGTGTCCTGCTTGCAGGACTCTCTGGTATGGAAGATACTAATGATAGCCGCCAGAAGCATTCAACATTGAGTGTTTTGCTGAATCCTCAGCTCTAGATTCTTTTACCTCTTGAAGGAGCTTGGTTTTTTGGGCACATGAAGCTTATTGTCGACTATCTTTTTTTTTTATCTAGTGGTGATGTCTCGAAAAATGGGTCATAGTTGACCTCGGTTCCTGAAGGAAAAACGAAAATTGTGGACGAGAGTTCCGTTTCTGAGCATGGGATTTACCCAATTCCGTATGGACGCGGCAAATTGCGTGGCGAAATACGTGGCGATTTGAAGGACTTTAGCGCCTATAATTAGTGGTCAAATTCGAAGTATAGCAGGATGGGCTGATCCGATTAAACTACTCTACTTCAAGTTTGTGCCCCACAAACGCCCTTCAAACGACAAAATTCAAACGACTATGGCGCTCCAATAGTGGGCGCCAAAGTCGTTTGAATTTTGTCGTTTGAATCAAATTTCGCCACGCAATTTGCTGGCATCCTCGGACGCACGTATGTACCCATATTCGGTAAATGTTCCGTCCCTCCTTTGTTCTTAAAGTGAGCATGCGTTGAAATGAAATGCAGAGGACGCACAATTTTATGAACAACAGATTTCCTCTTACGGCGCAACCCTGTTTCAATACTCGAACAGTCGAAGTAGCCAGCAGGCAGTACTACGTTACGACCGCTCGTTCGAGTGAAGCCTCAAAGCTAGATTACTGCAAGAGCCGATTTCTCGACTGAATTTTTTTCCTTATATCTTCTTTATACCACCTAACGTTATCCCGCTTCAAATCACGATATCCCAATCATTAGCTTCAAGATACTGGATCATTTCTCCCATTCGTTTGAGCCCCTACCTGGAAATCATCAAGTTGGGGGTATATGCGCTTGCCCAATATGACTTGTAGCGGTTTTTGCTTTCTGTGTGATGCATTCTGAAAAACCTCAGTGGATCGTTTAACTAATCGTGAATCTGTATCTGGTTGCTGTGAAGCTGTAAAACTTTCTCTTATTGGTGAAGAGAATTTACTCGTTTTTTGTTTGTCATTTTATGAAAAGTTCCAGGTGAAATAAACCATATCAAGGCTTTTTGTAAAGACAGGCAGTGTAAATAGACTCTTCCTTTCCATTCGTGTTGATGACACCATTGCATCCATACATCGTGCCTTCGGGAAGAAGCTCGATCTTAATACATTCACTATTTTAATCTTTCGGTGAAAACAAAAGAACTCTATAGAAACAGCTCGCACGTAATAATGCCTTCAACTCACTTCTTTTACTCTTTTGTCGAAGCGATGTTCGAGGATTGCGAGGAGCTTCTCCCACATCTCCTTTTTGTCACCCTTTGGGAAAGACCTGAAAAACACATATCATTCCGATGTGAACGAAGATTTCGCAAAGTAACTAATACGAACTGTTTTCCTTTGATAATCACGTCAGCCTTTACACTTTTAGGTGACTTCAACCATTCCAGTGCCTTCTTCGCCCACTCGCCGCTCCATTCCTGTGAATACGTTCTTGCAAAAGAATTGAGACGTTAAAATGAAATGTAATAGACAAGGCTGACCACATTGTCGCTGTACATTGAATTGAGAGTCTTGAATGTTTCTTCCGTCTCTTTCGGTAGGGGAGTACCCGAGCCTGCACTCTGCGGTTTCATATATAGACAGGCAGTATAAATGGATTCCTTCTTCTTCAATGTTGTATCAATTATGCCGTTGCATCCGTACAATGTTCCTGCCGGGAGGCGAGCGATCTTAACACCCTCGCTTCGAAACAAAAGACGCATAGGAAGCATTGGTTAGTGCAAGCAACCATCCACGGTCATGATGTGTTCAGCTCACCTCTTTTTTTCTTCGATCAAGACGGTGTTCAAAAATCGAGAGTACTTTCTGCCACAGCGTCTTGCTATCCGTTTTTGGGAAATACCTGTTGAAATAGCGTATTCATAATAGAAAAAAATATTCAGAGAAGCATATGCTAACTCTTTTCCTTTGATGACGATCAGATCATCCTTAACCT